AGGGCGTCTGGTTCGAGCTTGTGAAGAATGTCAATCGAATGTGCTTATCCTTGACGGATCAAGTACGCTCAATTGCGTCCGTAACGACAGCAGTTGCAGAAGGGGATTTGACGAGGAAAGTGGAAATCGAGGTTGAGGGCGAGATGCATCAGTTGAAGGCAACAGTCAACTCCATGGTGGACGATTTGAATGCATTTGCATCCGAGGTTACTCGTGTCGCTCTGGAAGTCGGTACGCAAGGCATCCTCGGCGGTCAGGCAAGGGTCGAAGGTGTCAAGGGCACCTGGGCGGATCTGACTAGGAACGTGAACAAAATGGCGAACAATTTGACCGATCAGGTACGGTCGATTTCCAAGGTGACCAAAGCCGTGGCGACGGGCAATTTGACTCAGCTTGTCGACGTTGATGCTCAAGGTGAAATGTTGGACCTGAAGATCACAGTCAACAAAATGGTCGAGCAGCTCAGCGTCTTCGCGAGCGAAGTGACGCGTGTTAGTTTGGAGGTAGGGACGGAGGGTGAATTGGGAGGACAGGCCGTCGTACCCGGAGTTTTCGGAACATGGAAGGTTCGAACAAGCTATGATTTTGGCTACGTCACTCATTTCAATCCAGGCTTTGACAGACAACGTCAATCTTATGGCTATGAATCTGACGAACCAGGTACGGTCTATCGCTGAAGTCACAAAGGCCGTCGCGAACGGCGACTTGTCCAAGCGCGTCGAGATTAATGTGAAAGGCGAATTCCTCGAGCTGAAGGAAACTGTCAACCAGATGACATCGTCTCTGAGCGTCTTCGCTGACGAGGTGGGCTTATGACCTGGACTTCTCTCTGCCTATTTCTTATGATCTTCTGCTCAGGTGACGAGAGTAGCGCGCGAGGTCGGTACAGAAGGAAGGCTAGGTGGCCAGGCTCAGGTGAAGAACGTCGCGGGAACGTGGAAGGATTTGACGGATAATGTCAACGTCATGGCTAACAACGTATGTGACGCTGTGCACTGTTGTTTCTGAGTATTTCCATTCATCAGTCTTCTAGTTGACTAACCAGGTTCGGGTTATTGCAATTGCAACGGTGCGTCCCGTTTATTCGCCGGCCCAAGACCAAGATATTAGCTGATATCATTTCTTAGTCTGCTGTAGCGCACGGCGATCTAACACAAAAGATTGTCGGAGTATCGGTCTCTGGAGAGATGTTAGAGTTGGTCGAGACAATCAACAAGATGATTGACCAGCTAGATATCTTTGCCGTCGAGGTGAAGAAAGTTGCACGAGAGGTTGGGACTGAAGGAAAGTTGGGTGGTGTGGCAGACGTGGGTAATGTCCAAGGTATCTGGCAGGAGATCACGTATGTCTTTTTATTGCGCTCACCGCTACTAGCGTTCTCATCTCCAATGCAGGTTGTCCGTAAATGCCATGGCAGGAAATTTGACCACCCAAGTGCGAGGCTTCGCCCAGATCTCGGCTGCTGCTATGGATGGTGACTTCACTCGTTTCATTACCGTCGAAGCCAGCGGGGAGATGGACTCACTAAAGTCGCATATTAACAGTATGGTTTTCAATTTGAGAGATAGTATCCAGAAGAATACTGCGGCGAGAGAGGCCGCTGAATTGGCGAACAGGAGTAAAAGTGAGTTCTTGGCCAACATGTCTCATGAAATCAGGTGCGTTGGCAGTCCCTGCGTTTACCATATAAACTGAATTATATATAGGACGCCGATGAACGGTATCATCGGTATGACGGAGCTCACGCTCGACAGTGATCTGAATAGATCACAGCGAGAGAGCTTGCTGTTAGTCCATAGTCTAGCGAGGTCGTTACTGTTAATCATCGATGATATTCTGGACATTTCTAAGAGTGAGTCTTGGTGCATCGAGAAACAACTTAACTTACCCGTCCTTCTACGCAGTCGAAGCTGGCCGGATGACAATGGAAGCCGTCTCTTATTCTCTTCGTCAAACTGTGTTCGGCATCCTTAAGACGCTGGTCGTACGCGCGAATCAGAACAACCTTGACTTAACCTTCGATATCTCACCTGATATCCCTGATCAGCTTATTGGCGATTCGTTACGTCTGAGACAGGTTATCACCAACCTGGTAGGAAATGCTATTAAGTTTACGAGATCCAAGCCCTCAAAGAAAGGTCACATTGGGTTCTATGGCCGGCTACTGGCATGCGATGACCAGAATGTGACGCTGGAGTTCTGTGTCGTTGACACGGGCATCGGTATACCAAGAGAAAAGTTGAACATCATATTTGATACATTTTGCCAAGCGGATGGATCAACGACTAGGGCTAGTTCCTTTCTATTTTCTGTACGCTCGGCTGATAGTCGTTCTAACAGGAATACGGGGGGACAGGTCTGGGACTATCAATCTCGAAGCGTCTAGTCAATTTGATGCAAGGGAATATGTGGGTCGAGAGTGAGGTCGCAAGGGGAAGCAAATTCTTCTTTACAATAACCTCTCAGATTAGCCATAGCTCCATGGACAATATTTTGTCCAAGATGTCACCGTTCTCGAAGCGAACAATCCTTTATATGGATAGCCTAGGTGATGATACAGGGGTGGCAGCGGGCATACGGAATCTAGGTCTGAAGGTTCATGTGATCCATTCCATTTCTGAGGTTGCGGATAAAGCAAAATGTCCACACATTGATACTATCGTGGCCGACTCTTTGACTGTTGTGAGTGCCTGTTCCGTTTTGATCTTCTGGGCGTATCAATGCAATGTTTCATAGACCGAGAACCTTCGGGAGCACGAGCATCTTCGCTACATACCTGTTGTATTGCTGGCTCCATATATGCCCCGGCTCAACTGTTAGTATTTTTTCTTCTGAATGACGATGCCTTCTGAACTCCTTCCAGTGAAATGGTGTTTGGACAATAGCATCAGCTCTCAGGTCACGACGCCAATAACTGCCCACGACCTTTCAGCTGCATTAATTTCCGCCCTCGAATCAAACACTGTGATTCCGGTAACTGTACCAAACGATACAACGCTGGACATTCTTCTCGCTGAAGATAACGTGGTGAATCAACAGCTAGCCGTGAAGATTCTGGAGAAGTACGGACATAGTGTCGAAATTGCGGAAAATGGCAATAGTGCCGTCGAGGCGTTTAAAAGGCGGGTGTTGCAGAACAGGCCATATGATATCATTCTGGTTGGTCGTTATTCGCTGGCTCCTTGACTGTGTTTTCTGAAGATGGCGTGCTTTAGATGGATGTCTCGATGCCGTTCATGGGTGGTATGGAAGCGACGGAGTTGATTAGGGCATATGAAATGCATGTCGATTTACAGCCTATTCCAATAGTTGCTTTGACTGCTCATGCCAGTGCGTACTGTGTGGACTTGGATTTTGATGAGAGTGATGCTGACCACAATTGCAGTGATTGGCGATAGGGAACGGTGTATGCAGGCTGGCATGGTATGTGTCGTTGATGCGCGTAAAATATTACAGGTACTGACCGTTTGTTCCGCACAGGATGAACATATTACGAGTACGTTGGGGTCAATGTACCAGTATTTGTGGACTGACTGTCATTCAGAACCTCTTCGCCGAGGTGATTTACTGAACATTATCAATAAACTCACAGCTGAAAGGGCTGCTTCACGACTTGGAGGGTTGAATTGGCGTGCGCGTCCTGCACGGTGGTTGGATCCGGATGGAGTGTACTCGTAGGAAATTTTTGTGCTCTGGGTTTCTGGGTTTCTGGGTTTCTGGGTTTCTGGGTTTCTGGGTTTTCTGGGTTTCTGCTGTGTTTTTCCTGTTTGCGCATCATGTACCATTAGACAAGTTATACTCACGATATCAACTTAGCCGCATGGACGTCTCAGATATCTTTACGCAGCGTGCCTCTAGTTAGTTTTATGCTTTGTCTTTGTTGGGTTTAGGTCTGTACTATATCAATGGAACCTCTGCTGCTTGCTCAAGGAGTGGGATCTAATCAGCTATAACGAGGGCCTTAAAGACTGCCCTCAAATCAATTGCAATGTGTGAATGGCTATGTAGAAATACAAGGGAGAGAGGTGGGTGGAGGACAAACAACTTGGTGACTTGTACAATAATGGTCCAGTAGTACTGAATGAGGATTAGTTAGGTCTGGTGAAGCCAAGACTACTCAAGTGAGCCAATTGTGAGATAAAAGAAGAGGTGGAGCCTCACCAGGCAACAGGAGTTACTGACAAGTGAAGGAGGGGGTGAAGCCTTGAAGCCTGGAATTGGCAGTCAGAAAAGATTGACAGTGAGAGAGCAGAGCTCATCTCACCTAGGAATGCAGGATGAAAGTGGGAGTGAAGAAGAGACACCTGGTGCTAATGTCTCTCATGAATCAACATCAGCCAAGACTCAGCACTGAGACAGAGATGGCACCAGCAATCCCTCTTCATGGATGAGTGGAGCTCTATATCTCTGCATTGACAGAGATTGTGACAACCTTAAGAGCCACACAGAGGCCTGTGAAAATGCTTTCTATCCTTAGAATCCACCTTTACAATGGTATCTTATTTTTTGAACATGTGTAACACATCAAATGATATCAACTCTCTTACCACTTCTAATTCACCTGTTATCTTGCTATCCCCCCCCTCTTTTCTGACATTACACTCAGCAAATTACTTGATATCTTATCTTACTCATCCTATTCTCTTCAGTTTCCTCTATATTTGATTTCTCTATGAGTATATAAACCCTTCTTGTGTTAGATTAGATGACTTTTTCTTGAATTGAAGTATTGCTTACTTAGTCTTTGCTTCACTTGACTAAGAGTCCTCACATGGTGAAACTGTGACATGTCTCACTTTCATTATATATTTTTGACCTTTTTGATACCTCAAACCACTCAACTACTACCATGACAAGCCAACAACAACAAGCCTCAGTGGATGCTGTCACTAAGAACCCTTCAGCCTGATCAACTGGAATGATCTCAACAACACTCATCAAACAGAATCTCCTTGCTTTTCTTTCAGCTTATCTCTTCTCTGCTTACTTCTCTTAATACCATGTCTGGCTTAACCTACCAGCTCCACAGCACAGGGAATGTCATCATACTGGGTGACTGGTCCATAGGCCCAAGTTGGGCTGCTTATCATGCTCAGAAAAATATCCAGGATGAGTCCTCTGTTTCTGAATCTTTATCTGACATTCCTTCTCTGTCTCTAGACAGTATGGCTCTTGATGGAGGGCATGCTGACAATAGTGCTGATGAGTATGCTGTTGTGAATCCAGATTCCACTAACAAGCTGTCAACTGGAGATAGAAGCACTGATCATCCAAGAGTGAATATAGGTTAAGATGCTGAGACTGAACCCCATATGCTGGAGATTCCAGTGATGAAGCCATCTTATGAGGTCATTTTCAATACAGGTCTCCAAGAGAGTGATCCTGTAATGCCAGTGGAGCATAACAATCCAGTTCAGACTGAGAGTGATTCTCAAAGAGGTCATTGGATGATGGTCACTAAGAGATTGCCTTGTCAAAGGACTAGCACATCCTCAGCTACCAGTAGTGCTGATAATGTACTCTCACCTTCACACAATATATTCACTATTCTTGATGAAAAACATTTGCATGAACAGCCTGAGCTGACATCTGCACAATTAAGTACCATTTAATAGGCTGAAGCTTTGATATCTGATGGGACCAAGAAAATCATAGACAGATGTAGGAAGGCTATGGGATTGGCCAGTCAACCAGTGCCTTCCTCTTCTTCAGCTGCCAGACCTCAGGATAAAGGCAAAATAGTCAACTACTACAATAAGCTCACCACACTTCCAGGATTCACTAGTAATGACTTCAATGTTAATAACCAACATTGAGCTCTTAGTTTCTGAGAGGCACTTCAGAATGAATTGGCTGAGATACAAAGCTTATTGCTTAAAAAAGCTGCTACTCAATTACAACAATCCTCACAGTCAGACAATATGACTGTGGCAATTAATAATAGCACTGCAATTAATGAACCTAGTATGGAAAAGGTTTCAAGTCAATCAACTACAGCTCAAAAGACACTGGAACAGCATAAGGCTCATTCAGTGAAGATATCAGAAGGTGCTAATGCCTTTCACACTATCTTGCTGAGCCTTTCTGTAGTATTAGAACAATTGATGCATTTGAACCAGCCTTCAGACACAGCAGCTAATATTGCTCCAATCATGAGCTCAGACTGAGCATATAGTCTATGCTGCTTTACACCTAGTTTGTGCCAGCCCTTTGGTGACCACTCCAATAGTTGAGAGCAGCCAACTGGATCCAGCTTATACATTAGACTAAATAGCATCTACAAGCTTCTTAGGATGTACTCTTGATAAATCTGCTGCTAGTAATCTGGAGCCTTTAGACAGTGACTCTTCAGACTCTTCATCATCTGATAGCACAAGGAATGACACTGACAATGTTAGAGCCAACTCAATAAAGTCTCATAAAGAGCAGAGATGTTGTAAACAGGCTAAAAATGATTGTCTAATACCCTTCACACTCTATGATGGCAGTTCTGATCTGGAGGCATTGACAATGTTCATCCAGAAGGCTGCTCAATACTTGAAAGCTGCTGGAGTATCTTGTTGTGATAAAGTATTCTGTGTTGTTTGGTTTTTGAAAGTGTTATGAATTTTATCTTTTTTCTTTTTCTTTTCATGAGATTAATCCCTATTCAAGCTTAGTCAGGGTGCTTAATATGAGCACTTGAGACTGTGGGCTAAGCTTAGTCATCACAACAAGCCTAGTCAGTCATTGTCTTTCAATACAACACAGTTGCCTGATAATGCATAATAACTCTTTTATAGACAGTAGTGACACCCAAGGATAAAGAGCACCATAATCAGAACAAACACAATAAGTAGCAGCATTTATATCATTGACAACTTGTAGTATATAAGAAGGATTGCTCTTGCTGGTAATCTTCAGCTTCAAGCTAAAGTTTATCTTCACACCATTCTACTCTTGAGCCAATCCTAAGGCCTTAAAGCATATCAATCAATATACACATCAGTGGACTCTGATATTCTCACTCAAAGTGCAAAGTGACATCAGTTTATCATGTGTTTATAGTTATGTGCAGCTTGGGTCTAACAATTAGCTCAAAGCTTCTTTTTTTCTTTTTTTACATACTATAGTGTGGAGAAAATCAAATACCATCTATCAATGCATCAGACTCTAATTTCAATCATAAGTTCTTTAAACTCCTTGCCTCTATCATTGAAACATTGTTAGGATTATTGATGATCATTCAGCTGTGCTGAGAATGCCAATCAATCACCATATGGGCAGTTAGATACTACTACAAATTTCAGAATATTCACCATATTCTATAGAACATAACCTCAGACCTTCCTTTTTATGACATCCTTAAATTCCAACAAATATTCCATCAGCCTACAGAGCAGGCCATATCTAAAGCTGAGCCTAGCAGCTTGCATCAAAGAGACATTCAAGAAAAAAAAAGACACCAATACCCTCTCTGACAATTAGAGAGCAGAAACTAAGACCTTTGCCTTATAGAGTTCTAGAACCTATAGGTTCCTGTTATGATTTTTTTGCATTTCATCTTTTATTTTGAGGAATTGACCCCTATTTTTGCTTAGTCATAGCATTTAACCAGCACTTAGAACTATAGGACTGAGGCTTAGTCATTATAACATGCTCAGTCAGTCATTGTTCTTTGACACAATAGTAACTGCTTGACAACAGACAATACTCTTTTGTAGATAGCTTAACAATACTGGACAAAACACTCTATAATGCCAGGACATATAATTAGGTAGTTATATCTTTAGATGGATGATGACTGGTATATAAGTAGCATAGCTCTTGCTGTAGTATCCTCAGCTTTGAGCTAAAGTTTATTTCTTTACTATCTTATCTCAAGCCAATCTAAAGGCCTTGAGATACAGAGCTATATAGCACATCAAGTGAACTCTGACATCATTGTCTGAAGTGTGAGACAGTGTCAGTTTATCATGTGTTTAGGTTATATCATTTGAGCTTAACAATTAGCTTGAAGCTTTTAGCTTCTTTTTTTCAAGCCCAATCATGCTGAGAAACTGAATGCCTTCTACAATCAACCTATCAGATCCAAACTTCACTCATGAGTTCTTTGAACTCCTTGCTTCTATCATTGGAACTCTATTAGGATTATTGGTGATCATACAGCTGTGTTGTGGATGCCAATCAATTACCATCTGGGCTATCCATTATTATCAAGAATTTCAACACATCTGTTGAATCCTGCAAAATGTCATCTCCAACCTCCTTTTCCATGACATCCCTCTCTCTACCAGACAGTCCTTTCAGCCTGTAGAAGGAATCATATCAGAAACTGACTCTGGAGACATGCATTTAGAGCACTCTGAAGAGAAAGTGGAGCATCAATACCTGCCTCAACTCCTGATGGCAGTGATGTGCAGACTACATGTCTAGCCCTATAATTTGCAAATTCTGCATAACACACTAGAATATGCTAGTAACTGAGGGTTATTAGCTAGTAGAAGACTATAGCTGATGCTCTGAGCTGATAGTCATGCTAGACACTAATACTAAGTCAGGTTTGAACTTAGAAAAGTTCTGCACCACATTTTGGAAAATACTAAGTCCAAGTTGGACTTAGAAATAGTATCTCAAATGGGACCAATTCTACATGCCACTAAGACAAGCATATTTTAAGACAGCTAGGGGTATGATACCATAGCCAGTTGTGGAGAATTGAGTAAAGATAGCATCATCCAAGAGCAGTAAGAAGAGAAACCCAATGATTTGTAGCTAGCACTGTGAGTTTTGACTCAAATGCCTAAGTCCAAATTTTCTAGATATCAGATGACCTAAGAGACTTAGAATTGAGAGGAATAGAGTGGATAGAACCAGTTGACTGGGCCTGACTGAGCCTAATCAATCAAGCTACTAAGAATAACTCAGAGGATTAAAACTCTGAGTAGACAGAAAAGAGTTAGGTACCCACAGGCACTGTAGGCTTAAAATAAAGCTGTGCAGTGGTCAAGTGGGTCTGGGCAAGCCTAGAGAAGTCCAAGAGTGTTGCCATTCCAGAATAATAGTGTGATTCTGCTTTAAACAGGAGAAATATTATTTTGAATGCTTTATTTATAGATTCTGTATCTGTTGTTAGTGTATAAAAGAAGAGAATGAAGGGGAAATAGCAAGCAAGCAACCCACTTCCATATTCAGGCCTTCTAGCCCACTGTAGCTAGTCTCTGGGACAATGGATTTTGAGTTCTGCTTTAACTTAGTGATTTATTTAAGTTACTTTGTCACTTAGAGAGAGGATTGAATTGGAATAATAACTGTATTTTGGGTTTTGGATTAATTTGGGTTCCAAACTATAAGAGTTTCAGCATCAGAGTATAAGTTTTTCAGTTCTAAAGACTGCTAGCCAGCCAAGAGTGCAGCTAGTCAAGCCTAAGTGCTTGATAGACTTAGTATTTGGGTTTTGGAGTTCATTGGGTTTTGGAATATTCTAAGTTGATTTGGAGTGCAATTTGGCATTCATTCTAAGTCCTAATTATACTTGAACATTGCTATAAACTACTCTCATGAGTATTGCATCTTTGAAAGCAAGATAGAGTTAAATAACTGTCTTTATTGACTGTTTCTTTGATTTTACTTAAGACTGCAAGAGTGCTTCTATTGTACTCAAAACAACTGACCTCAACTGTATTTAGTGATTGTGTATTAAGTGGTTAGGTGTTGGTGTTTGAGAGTTCATTTCTCATTCACCTCTCTTAGTCACTTAACCATTACCAAGCACATCAGTGGTTATCCAAAACAATGATAACCTTTAGGCAATGAGGTTCCAAAGACCAAGACCTGACATGCCCATTCCATACATCAAGCATGCAGACATCTTCAGCTACATCCCTATGATGAGAGCCACTCTTTCAACTGCACTCTCTGAGCTTGGCATTGGATGCTATGCTAGAGACTCTCTTGATACCCCTTGGATAGCTCCAAGAGATAGAAGTACCTCCTCAAATGACAGCCATGACTCTCTATATGCAACACCAACAGAAAGTGGAAAGTCTTTCCCTGCTGAGCTTTATATCAGAAACCAGAGCACAGACAGTGAGAGAGGAAGAACAGACATGGTTAAAACAGATGATGTCTACTTTGCAGACAACAGTGACAAGCAACATTATTGGAAAGCCACCACCAGAGAAGTTGACTGAATGAAGCACTGAGCAGAATATATATGCATAGCACCAAGCATACCACAATCAACTGATCCAGTCCTCCCCTCAGAGGACAAAGTTCAATGTACTGACTCCCTTGCTAAGTACCTCCAGGAGCAGATGAGAATCAAGTATGAGACAGCTAGGGAGAATGCTCTCTTTAGGCAGTACCTCCAAGCTTAAGAAGAAGCAGATTAGAGAAGGGGCTTGAGAAGCTCTGAGACCTCCATCTATGATAGAACTCTCATTGATTCCTCTAATGCTCCATTCCAGGAACCTAGCACTCCTGCTCTATCCAAGCTTGACCTATAGGCAGTATCTTCCAAAGATATTATCCATGTGGGTGTCACTTGACCTCAATGATGACTGCTCACTATCTTACAGGACTGACTCAATCAAACAGTTTCCTCCTTAAGAGGGATGAGAGTGAGATGGACAATAAAGGAGAACCCAGTGATGAGGAGAGAGAGGATTCTCTCTCTGAATGGAAAAGCATATTCATGAGGCAACTGACAGAAGAGGAGCTAGGAAGGCATAGGAGAAGCATTAGGGTGAGTTTTTACAGCTGTATCAGAAAGAGGCAGCCATGCTATGGACAGATGACATCTGATTAGTGTTGCCTATGGGACTAAGGTATACTGCTGCTGACAGAGTCAAGCATGTGAATATTTTGCAATATGCAGCCACCAAGTAGGCCATTTATAGTTACAATAAAAATTATTTAGAAAATCATCTAGCACTGTTATTGGCATACAAGTCCCAGTTTGATATTGAACCAATGCTGTAGATGCTGGGTGTGACATTCAGCCAAGTCATTTATATGGCACTCTCAATACAAATCATATCTTCCCAATACATGTTTGCTATCTCAGCTGTCTGCAGCATGGTATCTTGGCTCATCCAGAGCTGACCATGGCCAAAGAACCCCTATCAGAATCTGTGGACACAACCTATGTGCTGATCCTTCAGTGGTCAGCTGCTACCAAATGAGG